AATGGATATCACAAAAAATAATGCCATCCTCTCACATAAGTCAAGTTGCACACAGAATAAGCTAAATATTTCCTTACTTATATTAAATATAAGTCCCACTACTTGTGTACAATATCTTACAATATTTTTCTTGTTTTACTCATTTTTGTTCATACATTTCCAGACCATTCCAGCAATTAAAAGAGTTCAAAATTTCAAATAATCAAATAATTCAAATGATGGTTGGGCACATTAAATAACAGTCTCTGTAGAATCTCCTTGAATTTGGATTTTCTTCAATGCACATCATCAACCTGGCCACCTATAAACATCAGGGCACACATGGAAAAAATTAAGTGAATACATTCCTACATAAAGAAGAAAAAAAGTCCATACTGCTCAATTCAAATGAACGTCAGGAAATTAGAGCATACTATATGACCTCCCATGTCTTTAATGGCAACTACACACATTAAGACAGAAAAAAAATACCGTATCCATTTCTGAATGAAGTAGAATGCTATGAATGCTGGATTTAAATTAACCACTCAAAATATTACAGATTGCATAAAGTACAATTTATTCTAATTATTGTGCTTTATAAAAATAATTTCCAGGAATAGAGGGCATTCTTAACCCTTAATGCCTTTGTAGGCTATGAAACAGTTTATATTTATTTAAGTGTGTGACAGCTAAGGTCTATCTAGCTTTGTTCTTCTTGAGACAATGAGTAACGGATTAGACATCTTTTACAGGTCTGTTAAGATCTTCAGACGGTAAACACTGCACTCAAACAGGCCTCTAACCAAGCATGTATTAAACATTTACATAAAACCTCTTATTATTTCCAATCCTCTGTTCATTAGCTTACGAGGAAAGTTTGCAGTGCTTTGATTTTTGAGGCCCCACAGTCAAAGGTCAGGCCCACCTCATCACATAGGTTATGCTAACTGTTCTCTTAAAATTATTTGAGACAAATATTAGTAAATCTTAATTTTGTTATCAGCTCATAAAAGATAAATGAAAATAAACGTATGTTTTTTAACAATCAAATTCTCAGAGACTATACAAGGATAGACTTGTATAGGCCATGGCCTACAAATAACTTACGTAGGCAAGGTTTATTTAGCTTTTTGTTTTATTTATTTGCTTTTTTGGATCACCATTATCATCATTATTTCACATACCTTAACAAAATACCAATATCTCAAAATAAAATCAAAGGAAATATGTAAAACTTCCAACTTTACATGGTGTAAAGCACAATAATAATAATAATAATACAAATTTTCAGTTACATAACTTTAAATTTTACATTTGGCCTTTCAAAGTAAAAAAAAAACAAAATATTCTTTTAACATTCTTCAAAATAGCGAAACAGTATAAAGTGAATGAATAACTAGATGAACGTACGTAACCTTCAGTCTAAACAACTAATGACTAAACACTCAAAACATTCCTTAGGATGATATTAGTAACCTAAAGAAGTTTGTTGTATGTAATTGTAACGCTTGTTACAAATATATGCAAATATATGAACTATTTGAGTTCTTTGACGTGAACACAGAAGCAGTTTAGAAAAAAAAATAAAAAAATTGGAAGATGTGAATCGGAACCGCCATTTTCTGTATAAATACAGCCAAGAACATAAACATCGACTAAACTGTCAAAAAAAGATATATATATTCTTAAAACAAAATCAATATGAAAGAAAAAGAAGTCGGTTTCCAATAAATTAACATTACTGGTTAAAAACAACGTTCACACGAAACAAAGCTGCTTGCTATGCACGAAACTTCTATAAAAGTTTCTCAAAGCAATTTATTCGCATAAACATGGCGAAAACGGCACAGAATGTTCCATACATTCGCTCAACAGGGGGCATAGGCTGAAAACACTACACACACAAAAATGTAATTGAAATCTGAAACGGTACAAAAAATCATTTTCAACTTACATAGTGCTTAATTCCAGCGTTCTTCGACGGTAGCGAAGGCAGCAGTTTTTGCTTTCGTTAGCCTTTTGTTTGTATATAATATATAGGCTACGTTTAAAACATATTTATGTTATCGTTTGGGTCCCTAATTCTACTTAAAGGGCAAATTATCCTGGTGCTTTTAAGGAAAGCCCGCAGATATTTTTCGTCAAAGCGACATATACCACCCTCAATCCGAATACTAGCCTACATAATGTTTTCCTATAGAAAACGTCCCCCTGACGGGTGGAGCAACGGGTCGCATTCCTTTCCAATAACATGCATTTTAAAGCAACCTCACAAACATGCTGTACGTATAGGTTTAGTGATTCTATAAAATACGTATTCATTAACACAGTCTATATAAAAGTTGACTATAGGAAATGGACGGTGCAAAAGGGGGACAATGGTATGAAAATGAGCTTCCGATCTGACCAACGAATGAGGGGAGGAGAATCCCCACGTGTCCTAGACAAAAGGACTGGGTATCTAAAGGCATAAAATAAGACATTCCGCCACATCTGTAAATAAACAACTAAGTTTTCAGAATCAGAACATGTTCAATATACACATTCATGCGAGAACTGCCTTCAATGCGAAATACCTTATGTAAACGAAGACCTCTTCCACATTTCCTTTCTTTGCATGTCTTTTACCTTTTAAACTAAAAAGAAAAGAAAATGTATGGTGCATATGTGTTCCGGTTTCTAATTTTGAAACTGGATGAAGTAATTCTACCCCATAGTAGACTTTTCGCGCCTGGATTCGTACAGAAGAGCAGTGGATGAAAACCAATGAATGAACAGCCGATGCAGCAGCCAGCGAGAGTAGTAAAGCAGAAAGGAGCTGCGCTCTCATTGGTCTCCTGTTCGACCAATAGGAGCGCATCATGTGCGTGCCATTCTACAGTAGTATTTCAGTTGTGCGAGCTATACTACTGGCATCCAGGCCCATACTGTCTGACTTTACACACAATAACACATTGAGAATTCAGATGTTCTTACTTTTTACACTTTTAGATGCCATTTAAAGTTCATATCTATGGCATTAAAAGAAGCTAGTCCTATTCAGTTATAAAACAACTTAATTAGGATGTAATGGCTCTTCATACAAAAGATTTTAAATGAGCAATGTGGCAGTTTTACTGCTGATATAGAACAAAACATGATGTGTGGCTTACTCTAATTCAGTGTGTGGCTGTATGTGTTAAAAAAGCTAAATAAATACTGGTAAGACAGAATATTGGGATAAAAGTAAATTGTCGAAAGAGAAAAAAAATAAACCGCCATTGCTTATGCCATAAAAAAGTATTGTTTTGGAAAGATGCCCAGGGCTGAAAACTAAATAAAGATGAACGTGTATAATACCGAGGAGAAGTTTAATTAGTAGTGTCAAACAAGGACGAAATTAATTAAATCCCATCACTATATAACGTGGGTAGGCCTACTCTAAAGTTGCAGGACAATCAGTTTAGTTTTAATCATAATTTTATCTTGAACAATATGCATGCTTCTGGTTGTTAATATTGTTATAGAAGATTGTAAAAATGTATCAAACATGGCGAGATTGTCTTTAATTTAATTTTAATTTAAACGTGTGTGTATAGGCTTCTTGTGGCGCTTGGTAAACGAAAGACGAATATATTTTAGGAATATTTCTCATTTAATTTAAACGCCAGGTAACATATCAAATAAATTACCTAAATTCTCTCAAACACGTAAACATAAAAAATCCTGAGGTGACCATTTGATATACCCTTTAATATCGGCCTCGTGGAAGGACATGTATTTGTCATTTTTGTTTGAAACAACCCTCAAGCAGTGTCGCATGTCCCAGATTCCTCCAAGGGCGTAAAATATGAATTCGTCCTAATTATCAGAAATCTGTCGCACGTGTCATTCTCTAAACTTGCGATGTAAATATTATACAACTTTAATATTTATAAAAACCGACTTTATCTGTTTACGTGTACAGAAAAATCTTTTAAAAGAAATCCAGCACGACCTATGTGTGTGTGTGTGACGGCAAAGGAAGGAGAGCGAGAAAGAGGCACATAAGGGCGTGGACCCAGTGTAAATGTCTCCGCTTTACGTGGAAGGTCGAGCGATTTGCAGGCCTCACGTCCAGATATTATGCAACTCCAGTCTTTTTCTGTGGAACAGTTAAAGAAATGTGGCGAATTTTCGGGGAAGAAGTCTAAAGTATATTGCATGAACAACACACAGGCCTATGATCTCCTCCCGCAGTGCCTGAAGGAGGCCCGCCTTAACCTTCTTCTTCTTCTTCTTCTTCTTCAATAAATTTTGATGGATTTCTAGCATTAAATCTTCTCTATTAGATTTCATGTTTTGAATACTGTAAAGGGCTGCTACAGAGTCAACACAACATACCACTCTATCAGGTTTGGCCCGCCTTAACCACTCGTCATTACGACTTTTCTATGTTCCGCATGGCCCTCCCCTTTCTTTAGGCACCGGAAGTGTATAATTTGCTTTGTTCAATCTGGTTAGGTCACGTTACACTAGGCCACAGCTGTCAAATACTGTAGGCATGTATAGTTATTTTGCGTTAGAGTAACACAACATGCATTACACATGTAGCTGTGTAAATAATTGTACATAGTTGCAAGCATGTAGAATTTTTCTTCATGGAATGGAAGAAAAGAAAGAGGCATGTCGCTTGATTGCATATGGCTTCAGTTGTTTAGAGGTTTACCATACCTCTATGGCACGTATGTCATGTAATGTATAGAATATAGAGTAAAAATGATGCAGATGCTGTATGAATGGAAGACCCTCCCCCTCGTCCCCTATATGGCAGCCCATCGAAAGCCTCATCGCAGGTTTCAAGCGCTGTGAGCGAGCGTGCGTACTCCACCAAGAACCAATAAGAGGGCAGAACGGCATTAGTAGAGAAAAGTCCACAGAACGGCATATCATTGAACGGTACAAAGAGTACAGCTAGCTTTTTGCACGGGATCCCTGCAAATGCACGTAGGCTATAGAGGTTTTATCCCATCTCTCTCTCTCTCTTTCTCTCTCTCACCATTGCTTTCTCTGTCTCTCTCTCTCTCTCTCTCTCTCTATCTGTCCCCACCCCAGTCATCTGTGCCATTTCCCCCCCAATCCGACACTTAATTGAGCAACCGGGACACCTCACGTGCAGGACTGATTTGTAGTTTGAACACGTGGCTCATTGAAAAAGGCAGAAGAACTTAGGTTTTTTTGTTGTTGTTGTTGTTTCCCGTTCTCTCGATGTTATTAAGAGGTGGTGCCTACACAAACGAGTGTGACAATTTAGTAGCGTCGCCAAAGAATAAAGAAACTTTCTCTATTTTCTTCCCGGCCCTTGCCTCGCAGAGGTGACGGAATAAATAATTCAGCACGTTTAAATCAAGAGCAAACGCGAGTGCGCACACCCACGGCGGCGATCTCGTCCATCAAATATCTCAGTAGCTTGGAGTGATTGGGAGAACACTCCCAGACCCTCCGCGGAGCGACAGTGCGGTTCTCTCTCTCCAAACACTGCCCATCCGAGCGACGCGATAAAGGGCTGCCCCTCTGCAACACGGTCGCCCTTTTTTGTATTCAACAAAATGAATAAGCTCTACATCGGGAACGTGAGCGAGCAGGCGAGCGCGCTGGACTTGGAAAGTATCTTTGAGCAGTGGAAGATACCTTTCAGTGCACCCTTTCTCGTAAAAAGTGGCTACGCGTTTGTGGATTGCCCCGACGAAAAGGTAGCTATGAGGGCCATTGACACTCTTTCAGGTGAGACTTTTGTGCGTATGTGATTTTTGTCCACCCTCCAGATGAATTACAATGCACACGCAACTGTCGCGTTTAACAATTAAACGCCTATGCAAGGCAGGGATGTGTTCATACACTGAGCGAGTGTAGGCTATTCACTTTCAGTTTTTTAAACCACGGGCTTTACTCGCCGAGAACACTTAAGTCTCGCTTTAGTATCAAAATAACTGAACGGCAACTGTCCATCAAAGTTGCAGCGTTCCTTGTGTCTATGCAGGGCGAAATGTGAAAATGTGTTTAACAACTCCAGTATCCAAGCGGCTAGTGGTTGCACATACTATTTATTTGAATTAAAATGGTCTGGGTGTTTCGTGAGGCTTTTAAACGCATCTCGTGTAGCACTTTCTGGAAGTTAACTAAAGTGTTACACAACGGGTGGTTTTGCGAACTTTGCCATTGTAAAAATGTATCACTTTTATCGCTGTAATTACGAGCTCTAGAACACCAGGTGGTTGGGTTGCATTGGTGGCTTGTAGGCCTTTCGACTACTCCCTTGTCTCTACATTATGGGTTGATTATGTTTGGAATAAGTGTAAATTGTATAAAGGCTGCAATATTTGCCCTAAAGACCGTATAAGTCAGTGGACATTTAAGTGATTTTTTTTTAACAAGTCAACGTCTCGCTGCTCGTAGCTGTGAGGCCTTCTCGCAAACGTGGGGGCAAATTTGCCTTCCATGTTTAACCTCAGGGAATTTTGTATGTATGATTTTGATTTATTTATTTTTTAAAACTGATTTTGCTTTAGGATGTCTTGAAAATGTTCTTGAAATCGTATATGTCAGTGTAGTTTCTGTACGTAACGTAACTAGCATTTTTAATTTGTTTTGCACTTTCGTACATTGTGAACCTTTGACACATAATAGACATTTTTGTTAGCAAAAATTTTTTAAAATACTATTAATATTTTTCAGGCAAAGTAGAACTCCACGGAAAAGTCTTAGAAGTGGAGCACTCTGTCCCTAAACGACAAAGGTAAGATTAATTACTAAATTTAACCATTTCATTTAAAAAAATCCACGTTTTTGTTTTGAACTAATATCTCCAAATATTTATTCCTCACAAGCCCTGATTTTAAATCGGGCTTCTTGTTGTTTTTAACCTTTCAAATGACTCATTTGATTTGTTTTACGTTCATATGATCCATCAAACTGTTATTTGCAAGCGAAATTCAAGATTAGGGTGGTGACGGTATGTTTTATGTACCTACTTTAAATGTAAATCTACAGGCGTGTTTAGTAGCCAAAAAAAAAAGGTGTGTAAGCTACTGATTGAACCACCATGTCCGCGTGCGGAATGTGGGTTTCTGTAATAAAACTGAGGCCCTTGATATGCTGAGTTCACATTACTGGGCCTTTAGGCCTTGAAAAAAACGTAGCAAGAAACGCATACGAGGTGTGCAAAGTGAGAGCGCAAACGTTGTAAACGGGACCTCACGTTGTACATGGATGTGCATTTATGGAGCCATGCTTGCTGTGGCGTCCATTTAAGAAGAAACTACTATTCAGTGCTTCCGCCCCCTCTTTCCCCTCCTCGCGCTGGTCAGGCACGAGATGGACTCCTCAGCGCGCGTGGACTGCTAGGGTCGAGGGCTTGTCACGAAAACTGGTTCGTGGGTTCACAGGAACTATAACGACTAGTCGTGGTGTAAGCCACAAAGCACTGTTTACTAACTGTGTACGAGTGGGTTGCGGTTTTATTGTAATAATTAAGATGACGTAACGACTTCAGATATAATGAATATTCGTCTTATTTTCAACTTATGACCGCCTTATGTACATACAAGCTGTTTGTTAATTCCTTGGTGTTCTGTATTTTTAATTTATGAATAACTAGCGGGTTGTATATATATATTTTAATAGTGATTTCTCAGTCAAAAATAAAGCAGTTTTCACGTAGATTGTACGCGGTATAAGTTAATGGTTGTTTTGTTTAAAGATGACAAGTTTAAGCATTTAGCAAGTTCAATTTAAATGTTATGTAGTGTTTGTGATTTTGTTTATTTGGATTACAGTAGGCCTGCTTTTTTATTTTGTAATGGTTTAACGCATGTTGAGCTTAGTTCAATTTTAAGGCAATTCTTGATGGGCCAGCTGATGTTTTAAGATGACATGTGATCCGTTTATTTGTCGTTTAAATTTTTTATACACTAACAATGTATCAAAAACAATAGCTTAATACGCCGAGTTGAGTGTGTAAATGATAGAAACAGTATAATTTAACTGTTAAGTGTATAATGTTTATTTTGTGTGTGTGCTGCACATGTGCAATAAATGTTGATTGGAGCAGGTCAGAGATTGTGTATGTGAAGTTGGTTTGAACTGTGAGCCAATGAGAGCCAAGTATAGTGAAATGCATGATGGGAGTGATTGTGCATTGAGTTTCTGTTACCCTGAAATGGGGCACTAACACCCCACCCCCGTCCTAACCACACACACACACACACACACACTCCGGTCTTGCTCCTATAGCTTAATCTGCTGTAGGAGAACATTCCATATTGCATTCCCACCGGAATGCAGACCAGGACTGGAAAAGAACACCAATCCCACCAAATTCCTCAAAAGAAAAGGGAAGTTTTTAATTCGTACGTGAAAACTGGAATGTCATACGACTGTACTTTTACTTGGTTGATGATTTTTTTTTTTAAAGATTTACCAAATGGCATTAGGGTTTTTAATGTTTAAGTAGTTGTTAGTGTGCGTGTTTAAAAAAAAAAAAAAAATGAAGTCACTTGCCCAGGTGCATGCACCTAGGCCTATATGCTTGGCCTTGTTTTTATTTTATTTTATTTTTTCTCGTTTTCACTGGTCTCACACTTCTCCCTGATCATTCAACTGAGTGCTAATGTTGTCTTTATTAACTCTGTGCCTTTTTAGTAGATTTGATACGCACGCACGCGTGCGTGTGTGTAAGCGAAGTTTAAGTTTAAATAGTGAATGTGTGTATTGCCGGTTTTAGGTTATGTAATTCTGTCAGAGCTTTTTGCCACAATGGATTTTTAGTGAAGCATGGACAGCTTCTCATATTCTGTAGTTTCGCTCTCAACCCATTATTTGAAGCTCAAAATTATTTGTTTATTATTAAATAAACTGTTTACTCTACAGGAGTTTTTCCCTGTTAAAAAATAGCATAAGCACTACCTCTGGTAATTTTGAAAAAAGACTGGTTATAGTTTACAGAACTAAATTTGGATTGCGGTGCCATGGATTTTTGACACCGCAAAAACGCTGGGGAAAACATATCCAGGAATCACACAGAGATGTTGAATGCAAGTTGTGATGCATTTTGATAATTCCTAAGATGACTCCAAGTGATTGTTCTCCTCTTGACATCTACACACTTCATGAGTGCAAATGTCCCTTACAGCATGTACAACTTCAGTTTCGTCTCCAGGCCTTACTCTATATAGCGTTACATAGCTAGGATAGACTGTAGTTTTTTTTAAACATGCTTTTAATTTTGTGAATTAATGTAAGTGAGTATTCGAATGAACTTGTTTTTCATTTCTAGGCAAAACTGCATTTTATTTAAATTGGGTCAATTTGTTGCAGTAGTTAATGTGGCAGTGTACATGGAACCTTTTTTTTTTTTTTTATCTTCAGATATTATTTGCATACACATGCATGTTCCATTTTGCAGAAGCAACATAGTATGACTGTTTTGTTTTACTGTTAGTTACTTCAGAAATTAGATGCTGTACAATCTACATAAACTCAGAGGAAATCAAGAAAATATACACAGATTTTTAGCTTTTTTATGCCCAAGTTAAAATGTGTAAATTCGGCTTAAATATTGCTTAAAACCTAGCAATATCTTTGACAGTTATGTTAAATCAAGATCATCCATCTGTTTTCTCACTGTCATAATTAAAACAGCTCTTTTAGGGAGGTAATTTTTCAATAACTTGTAACGTAGCACAATACACTAAATAAATAATACAGGTCAACCATTGATGTTATAAAGCACTCAGAACTGTTAATGCATGCTGATTGCTTGAAGCACGCATGTGCGTCGATGTTGATTGTTTCTATTATGGTAGATGAGTTTCTTTCACGCCAGTGTGCTACCAGTCCCCTATTTTTGCTCACTGTTTAGGCCTCAATCTATGTGCACGTGTGATAGACGTAAATGTGTATGTGTGTGGGAGAGTTAGTGTCTACCTGTTCAGGTAGAGGCATGTTTGTTCCCATGTCCTCTGTACATACAGTTTTTTTGAATGTTGGTGTGTAAATGCGCAAATATACAGAGCTTGAACTTTGGAGTCGTGTAAAGTCAACTGGGCAGTTATAGATCTTTCACAATCGCTGTACCAAAGCATGCACATTAATGAAACCCATGTTAAACTTAAAGTACTGGTCTATAAAAGTGATATCGCCATTAAAATTAATTTAACGGTGCAGAATGGCATATTTACAGGCTCTGTGTAAATCTGAATGAAGCTACTAATGCTGTGTGTTGTCATTTCTAATTGAATCCAAAGCAGAAATATAGATTGTCCCTTTTCTAACCCTTGATGCATTTAGTTCTTGGCCTTTAGAAAATTCTCTGTAGAAGTAACATCAATATATTTCTATGGCTTGATTGATTCATGTTTTTTTATGGCTGAATGATTAATTTGTGCAGTTTACATTGGGATTGTAGCCAAGTTGGCTTGTTGCTTGTACTCGTAGTGATGTAAACATTACATGCTGTGTCTGCGTTCCTGACAGTTGCAGGTGATGCCGTTGTCTTCCTCAAAGCGTACTTACAGTCTTTGCGTTCATTGGCAAATTATAGTTGATTCATAAATGAATTTGGTTGTTGTCTCTAGGGGTGTGCACAAATAGTCGAATATTCAATCTGTAATCAAAAAATCACTATTCGAATTTTACTACGTGTTGCTTTGCTGGCAGTAAATGGACGGAATCCATGATAAATCCTAAGCAAGCCAACTAAACTGTTATAACTAAATGCACTGGGTGATGCTGTGGAACATGTTAACAAGTTGATTTATTTGATCACAGAATGTCGTTGTCTGCCTTGCGAAGTTTGGAATTACTTTTGATCAAATGAATCGGTGAAACAGAGTTATCATAATATCACCACCACAATGAGAAATCACAAGAAATCCAAACAGCAGTCGACTGAGGAAAGACAGCTGTTCACGACTGCAGGTGAGCACAGGTGTTCCCCGATTGAGCCGAGAAGAGAGCTTATCTGATAGAGAAATGATCTTGAGATATATGCTTCCTTTAAGTTTCCCCGAGGGAGAGTGGTTTAAGAACAGAAAACACAAAGCGCTGTAAGAAACTTTGCTTAGCACATCGTTATCTTTGTGTCTCTGGAACATCTGTGTCAGCACGTGACTGAGGAGCCAACTTTCATGTGGTTGATATTGTTTTCCTCAACATTAACATGATGTGAGACAAAATAAACATGATAAACAGACTGACTCGAGTGTATGTACTGTATTGTAATTGGCACGGTCTGCTTTATTTTTCATTTGCTTTGCTTGAGCTTGAATGATTTTGTTCTTTATTTTTTTTACACACATTTTCAACTCAAAGAAAACCTTGAGATATAACGTAACATTGCTGTAGAACATTGTGTATAATGCCTAATCATAAACTTGTTCAGAAATGGTGACACAAATTTGTTTAAAAAAATAACGTCTGTCTTGTTAACCGTCATTTTAAATAAACGAATATTCTAATATTTTTTAAGCCCAAATATTCGAAAACAATATTAAAAAAAAAAAAAATGCCCATCCCTAGTTGTCTCTTACCAGTTGGTTTTGTAGACTTTAGTGTAGAATTATGAATTTCTAATAAATAAAAAAACACCTGTAGTATGATTATTTCGGAACTGAGCCTTTCCGTTATATAAAATCCCCTTTAAGTTGACCCTACGTTTATCAAATTATCTACATGTCAGCATTTGTGAAATCAAGGAAAATGGCAATATGCCAGACATTTCAGACGGAATGAAATCTTGTATAGTCAGGTTTTATCTGTCTGCTAGATATGCAAAATCAATCTAACATCTACAACTGAAGGTTAATTAACACACATCTGGGGTTGGTCACGTCTATGTACCTGCTTTAAATCACCAGTATTACCGCTTTCTTTTGGATGTTTGAATCAACATTCATGAGTCAACAAGGTGTTTGACAGTTACCATATAAGAGGGGAAAAACCCATTGGTAAGAGTTTGTAGATTTGACTTTCTTTGGGGAATTTTCAGGCTTTTTTTTATGAAAAGCTGAAGCCTTTTTTAATGAAGCTTGATAAGACTTTCTGAGATTCCAAGGTGAAGTGGACTGTATTGAATGAAATGAAGACTTTGAAATGGCCTCAGCCTTTTCTACCTAGTTGATTGGGTTAATTTTCTCTTTCTGTGACTGCAATTTGCTTGGAAATGAACACTGTTCACTATACTGATGTGTACACTATAAATAAGTTGTTGGACTTTCACCCTTTACTGTACTGTTCCCTTATTACCTCTTAAGTTCCATAAGCATCTCTATGTATCAGTTATTTTGGTTTATAAACCCTAATTTCAATCAGACTCATGTGTGGTATTAGTGGACTGGTTTTTGTTAGGTACCTTGTCTCCAAATGCAACAAATCCCAGGTTGTGTTTGCTCCAGTTGATGAACTCCAGTACATTTTTTGGTGGCTTAGTGGTACACACAATCACTAGTTTGCTTCCCTCTTGTCCGATGAATTACTGATTGTTTGCTAATATTACCCATAACAGGTACCCTAATCTGCAAATACATGTACTATATGATCAGGTAATTTCTTTTGGATGTATAATTCATAACTAATGCATGTAATAATTGCAGAACACTGGTTTTTGCTGGTCAATATGTTGAAACTGCACTGCATAGATGGGATATTAAGTAGCTTTAGCCATTGCCAAATATGTTTCAAAGATCAAAGCCATTTTCTGTTTGGCATTTGCAATATTAGAGAGGCTGTGTGATTAGACACCATCTATCTTTAATTTTCAGTCATTTACTTTCAAAGAAACCAAAGAGGGAAGTGGAAGGTCTTCTGGTGACAAGTCACACACTATCTAAGAAATGGATTGAAATTGGGCTTTTTTTCTATAAATCAATAGTGTAATTGTGAGAATGGAAGTTTCAATCATTTTATTTGAGCTAGTAGAGTGTATTATAGAGATGATGTTACTCAAATCTTCCTCTATTGGGTGCTTCCAGTCAGACTCGAATGCTTTATTTTTTTCCCCCCTCAAAAGTGAATGTAGCTTGTAAGAATCTGGACCATTTAAATCCAAAAATGAATGACTTGTGATTTATTGCCTTGTGTAATTTTACATTGACCACTCTGTGTTTTTTTTTTTTCTGTTTTTGTTTTGTTTTGCAGGAGCTGCAAGCTGCAGATCAGGAATATCCCACCTCACATGCAGTGGGAAGTAAGTGCCGCTCTCTCTCTTTTTTTTTTTTTCCCCCCAGTTCTCTGAGGTGAAGGGGCTTGTATGAGGTGTGATGTTGACGCAGTACTGTGACTTGCTGGCTCACCACCACACCTCAGAAGCGTTGGTATTTGAGCCACCAACCCTCCTGAGTAATATCCTAGAATTTGACATCTTGGACCAAATGAGCTAGGGATGCTCCGATCCGCCTTTTTTGCCTCCGATACCGTTTCCGATACCTAGGGTTCGGTATTGGCCGATGCCGATTCCGATCCGATACCAGTGAAGTTTTTTACCCTCATTTAAATAAATGTAGAATTTATATATCTCTGTGTGTGGAACTGATAATCATTCTTTCACAATCTACTAGATACAAACTACTTCATTATAAAGAAAAATAAAATAAACAAATATGAAAAAATATAGGCCTATGTATATTTATAATCTATGACAAAAATTTATCATAAACTAGGTTAGTGGATAATCTACTACAGGAAAACCCGGCAGTTCTTAAAAGCTGAAGAATTCCAAAGGAACTCTGTTATTTTTACAGGAAAATACAACAAAGTATATCGTTTACATGTAGTGCATCAATTCTGCATGTTATGTAAGACTCTCGCTCGCTCTCGCTCTTTGCGCGTGTGAGAGAAAGTGACTGCGAGACGTGTGCCTTCACACTAGAGTTTGTTACGCCAAATACACAAACACAGGTGCGCTGCGCATCCATTCAAATGAACTGAAAAATATCACAGATCGCTTGACG